CAAAACTCCTATTGAAATCCAGGACAGCCTTGCCAAGTTGTTATTAATTACTGTGGTTCTCCAGGCTCAGTCCTGCAAACTGATCTGCATGAGCTCAGAGCTTTCTCTTCAAGGATCTGCTTTCAGGATCTGGGCTGTAGGGCTGCAGAACTGAGCACCAAAGGGACTGATTCCATGTCATCCAGCTCTGCCACCCCGGTGCCACTGCAGCCCCAAGGAGCTCACAATCCCAGCACGGCTGTTTTCCTTGGAAGGCAGGGAGGGGGCCAGCAGGGAAACAGTCCTGCACAAGCAGCCTTGCCTTGAACACAGAGCTTTCCAAGCCAAAATAACTTTTTGCTTGTTGGAGTTCAAGCACAATTGAGCTGTGCTGGAGGAGGGCACAGCTGAGCTCTGCTTCGGCAGTCGAAGGGAAGAGAGCTGGGTTTTGAGGAAGGAACAACTGCTGTGGGATTTGACTTCTGTGGCTGAAGCATGGAATATTTCTTACCCTAAGAAATGGCAAAGTGTCACACAGCATGCATGTGAGGTCAAGAATTTATTGATATGTGGGCAATTTATAGTATTTCCAGCACTGGGAAATCCTTCTTTGATTACAAAATGGGAAGCAGATCCCATGCCTGCCTTCATTACTGAACCTAGTACTTAGTGGTACCAGGACTGCATTAAAAGCAAGTTTTTAATATGTTTGTGTTGTTCATTTTAGCTGAATGGTGAAAAAAAAACTGGGAAAAGCTGTTTTGCAGGGGAAACAGAAAAATCTCAACTAGTTACAGAAAGAAGTTATGAGCTCTTCAATTAGACCACAGGCATTTTATATAGCAAGCAGGTCAGGGTATACTTTACTCCCTGAACCTGAAATATTGAAACAGTCATGTGACATATTTGCATTGAGTTATATAGGATGAGCTTAGATCTCGCTAATCTAGCTAGTCAGATGCCTGTAAAAATAAATAAGAACCTAAAAACTAGTGACATCAGCTATAACTGCTTATTCTGCTCCAGATCTGGCAGGTAAAAATCAGCAAGAAACCAAGTGCATTATGCTGCCTGGGCTCTGTGCCTATTTCTCATCATGTAGGGAGCCAGGCCAAATCCTTGACACAATAGCAATTTTTGCTCAATGCCAACTATTCCCAGCCTGACAGTGTGAATGCAGAGCTGGCTCCTGAGGTCATGGAACTGTAATGGAATCCAAACTGCAATGAACATCCCTGCTCCAGGAGGGGAAATGGCTGCTGCATGTGAAGCCATTTCCACTGGATTCAAACCTATGCTCAGGAGATGAGTTCCAGTGACAGCAGATGAGAACATCCTGAATTGAGTCACCTCTCAAGCCAAGCCATAGGTAATGCATGGACCAGTGGCTAGAGAAAGGCTGGGAAACAACTGTGCCAGAAGAAATGCTGAAGGTTCCAATTCCAGGTGTCTGTGTGAGCTATGACATAGCGACTGTCAGTCATGCTAAGTGGCAAGTGACATCTATTTAGATGAGCTCCACTCAGGGCCATGATAACAAAAGCACTTCACCTCACTACACCCTTCCACGAAGACAGGAACATCTGACAATGGCACAGTAAGGAGTTCAGCTATTAGGTTGCTATTCACTGCAAACACAGAGAGCTTCTCCTCACCTTTATGGTTGATCATCATGTCCTCTATATTGAACAGTGGGTGGAATGACACTGGCTCAATAATAAAAACATACTAAGATAGACAAGCTAAAAAATAAAATTATGTATCTGCCACCAACCAGCATACCCAGCATATGCTCTGTTTGAAAAGGGAGACCCTTGTCTTCATGCTAGAGAATCACAGCAAGAAAGATCAACCTGCTCAGCTGGGAAGACACCAAGACCTTTCCAAATAGTTCAGAGTCAAAAGGTCATTAAAACTCTTTCTAGCAGGAGTAACAGTGTCCTCAGAGATTAATGAATGTCCTGGAGCATTCAGAAAGGCAAAAGCCAACACTGCTGAGCGCTCTGTCCACAACACATGGGCACATAGTGGTAGCAGTAACTATGGGTATTGTCACCACAAACCATGGGACATCCTCATCCACCCACAGCTCGTTACTGACACCAACAGTGCCTTCACCTAAAAAGGTTTCAAGAGGCTTCATTCCACCACGAGACAGACAAGCAGAACAGGACAGCTCTGATTTTCAAGTGTTCCTACCTGCTTTTTTATTCTAACAGTGCTGGTGCTCATGCCCATTTAAACACAATTTTAAGCAACAACTAAATATAATAACTAAGAACAGGACACTAAGCCAGCAGCATAAATCACCCTGATTCACATCTCTCTGAATGGCAGCATCTGTACAGACTGGGCAGAGGGGAAAACAGGTTCTTCTCCACGTAATCTGGCCTTGGCAGAAGCAGTTTGGGTGATTTCCGAAATCCCATTGCCTAGCGCCAAGCTGGCAAGAGAAGAAACAGCCCCATCATCTCTCTCTCTGCTGAGGGATGCATTCTATATTCATCTGCAATCAGGATAGAGAAGAAAGAAGAGTTCTTTGAGCTTTATGCAAAGTAGATTGAAAATTATCCAACTATTTAAAAATTACTTTAAGAAAACCCCAGAGTAGCAGTGATGAGCTCTCACTGCCTGGGGGATGTTTGTGCTGCCCAGCCACAGGCACCCTTTGGTGCACAGCCCCACTCACACATGGGCAGGGTGATGCTCCTCAGCTTCATGGGCAGATTTATCAGCTTCATGCTAGTAGGACCAAAACAAGTCCTAAACGCATGTGTGACCCCATGGTACTTGAGATTCAGGGCAGCCTGGCCCAAAGAGAGGGGTAAGAGCCCACACATGGCAACAGTGAGGACTGGCTGCAGTAATGAATAACCCTGTGAGAGCTGATTCACCTGTCTGCAATCTGCTCCACACAGGACTCACAGAGGTTCTTTCCAAAGATTAGGCAAGAATATTACACTTAATGGCAAAATCATCTCCCACTGACTGAGTGGAGCACTCCAGTGTGCAAACTCCTCATGGGAGAGCAGATGCTGGCCCTGGCAGGTGTGCATGAGACCAGCCCAAACTGAGAGACCATGACCTGCTCACATCCCTCATTTCCAGGGTGCAGCACCCACAGGGTGCTCCTCTGCCCCTGCTGAGGAATCTCCTGCTCTCCACTCTTCCTGCTCAGCTGAGTTAGATGGGAAAGGATTCCCAACACCAAATATGCCTCAGGCAGACAGCCAGGTTTCCAAGCCCCTTGCCAAAGGGGAGACCGTGCTTCTGCATTTCCAAGTGCTCTGTGATCTTGCACTTGCAAAGCTTCTGGAGGCTTTTCCCTCCCACTGCACATTAGCAATTCATTCAGTAGTTTCCACAGGTCTGAAAGGGAACTTTTAACATATCGAGTGGAACAACTGCAGAAGCCTCCGCAGGAGACCACCATTAAGCCCAGAGCAATAGGGTCAATAAACTGCTGCACCCTCCAAAGATGGCACAGCCATGGTGGTCACAGGGTAAAAAAAAGCTGCCACCTCCTAAGGATGAAGAGCTGTACATCTTCCAAAGCTCCCCAGACATCTTATTAGACTTCAGGAAAGTTACTTCTCTTTCCCAGTCTCCCTCTCTGTAAAGTGGTGATAAAACTTCACAGGAGGCTCAATTCATTAATTCTGAAGACATTCAAAAACAACAGTAAAGATTCTCTGTATATATGCAAACCCACAAACAAACCAGCATTTGTAGGGGAGGAGAAACCACAGGTGGGGCTGAGAGCATCCAGAATTTGCAGTGTCCCCCAGCAATGTCCTCCTGCCATTTCCTGGAAAAAGGCTGTTCTGATACATGCACTGCTCTTGTAATGTGACTTTTGTTCAATGGGCTAATATTATTATTTCTAAATTTACTAATACTGGATACAAAACCATCTGTATTCATGAAAACCTGCAAGTTTACAAGCTCTCACACACAGAAACAGAAGCCATTTCAAACATCATGCTGTATTTAGAAGGCTGCTTTGAAAATCTGGCTCTTAGAATTACCTTTGGTTGCTAAATAAACTTTTCTGGAGTAACCACAGCCCACACAAAAATAGTTACAACACAGTTTCATGACTTTAAGTGGAAATGGGTGTTGGTAAGAAGCATGCTCAATTTCTCTTCACTGAAGTTGAAATGTAAAAAAAATTACAATATAAGCTCTGTAAGCAGATTCTTCATGGTAAACAAATATGCAGAGATGCAGAAAATGCTAAGTGATCATTTTTAGAACATTTATTTTTGGCAGGATAAACACTTTCAGACTTTAAGCAACTTCTCTGTGTGTACAGAATCTCCAACTGTGAAAAGAAAACAAATAGCAGTTTCGTTTGTTATAATCAGGGTTTTTTTCATGACTGTTTAGAATAAAGTTGGATCACATTTGGAGTGGCTTGGAAATTCATTGTTTAGGCATTAGTCTCCAGTGGTAAACATCCTACAATATGTGTATAATACAGCAACTATTTTTGTACTTCAAAGCCTTCCCTCATATATTGGGAAGGTGCAGGATAAAAACAACCTCTTCTTTTCCCTTCTAGGGAATGATGGTTTCATTGCTCAATTTGACCCAGAAGAGATCCCTGATTATCCCTCACCAGACCCATTTATTCACATAAAAATTAGCCCCAAACACCAGACCACAAATTGCACTTGACAAATCCAAATCTGTGGAGAAACAGGAGCATAATGGGGGGACTGTACAGTCCTGGAGCCTTATCATTCCCCAACTCCTTGGGGCACGGGGCTTTTTTTTAATACAGGAACTCACTGTTGACTCTTCAGGACTGAATATCCTGCAGATGAGGAAATGTGGAACAACAAGGACAGACACTCAGCTGGTTTGAGTGATCACATCTCCATGGTCAGTGCCCCACTGCCCTCCCAGCTACCACCACTCCCCTCACAGAGCAGGCCTCTTTCTCCACTTCAGAGGAACAGAAAGTAAGTTCAGGAGCAGGGTTTAAAACTGCATTTTCTCATTTTTAACATCCTAGTGGAAAGCTGACTGCTCAACACTTCTGAAAGCACCTGGCCGAGCTGTCCTGCTCCGAGTGTCCAAGGAACCAGAAGCCAACATGAGTCAACGCTCTGGGAAACATCGGCCTGCCAAGGTCACGTAAGTCTGTGGCAGGAGAAGTAACAGGATCATCTGGCTCTTCTCCTGTTTCTCAGCCACAAAACTTTCTTCCTCCCCTAACAATTACATATGTGGGTTTCCTTAACAGTTTCTTTTAACATTTCTGTTTAAATAGCACAGGGAAAAGGAAGAGGAGACTTGATGTGGAAAATTAGTTTTGGAAATGTTGAGCAGTGTATACTTGCCAACTTCTTTTCCTCCAGTCAGTTCACTGTCGATGCTCTCAGTTCTCACCGAAATGCTATTTTTAGGCTGTACGTCAGATTTCACAAGAGAGACTGACAGGATTTTTAGAAAAATCAGAGGCTTTTCCCTGAGAATTAAATGAGAAAAACAATGTGGGAATACTGCTTCCCACTTTGTGCTGCTGAGGCTCCACCACAGCTACTCCAGGGCAAAGCTCCAAAGCGATACAATCTTACAGGCACAGCTTTTCCGGAAAGCATCAGGGGATTCCCAGCATGAGGGAGATGTGCAGAAGATTTCCAGCAGGGAAATGTGCAGAACATTCCCATCATAAGGGAGATGTGCAGGACTTTTACACCTAATGAGACACAGGGAGTCTGAAAATGTTCTGAGGAGGTTCTCTGAAGCAAATCAAAGCACAGGCACAGAGCGGTGCTTCAGAAAACGCAGCTTTCTAATAAAATCCCCCAGCTGTTGCTGGAGCTGCCAGGTGGCTCCTTAGGGGCAGGGGCAGCTGCAGAGCCCCTGTGCCAGGAGCTCCCACTGCTGCCCCAGCCCAGCTTGGGCACAAGGGCTCCCCAGACCTTCACCACCACTTCTTCCCACTGCTCGGTGTCATCTGCTAAGCTGCAGCCTTTGCAGGAGAAGCCAGGAATGCAGAGGTGGCACTTTCTGCTGCAGTGAGAGGCCAGCAAAACCTGGAGGCAGCAACAGCCATCTCCAGTACATTATTTGCTGAGCACTTGTCATGCTGTTGGACATGCACATTAAGAAATTAGAGTTTCTACATGGTTATTTCCTTCAGCTGACAGGTGTCTAAAGCCAGTTTACAGCTCTGCTCACCATCCAAATCTAAGAAACTTAGAGCAGGTTTAACTTTTGGTTATTTTTCTTAATAGGGAGACTCTGTGTTTAACATATTTGCTAAGCCTGTTTTGATGAGACCATGCACATATTGACAGCCCTTGCTGACAGAACAGGGCTGCAGGGAGAAAATCTCATGCACACATAAACCAATGGCTCAACTAAAAAAGTCTTGCTATAAAAAGACTTACTATTGCAATGCTGCTGAGCAATTTTTTTTTCAATATCCACATGGATATTTGAAACTGCTTGATGATGATGCAGATTGTTTTGAATATTTCAGGGTCATTTATCCATAAGAGAATTTAGATAAGTAATCCAGCCAAATTTCAGTTTGCAGATCAGCATGTCTAGATATTTGACCACACAATCCTACAGAGAAAACGTAGTGTCACTGTGTTAGCTGAGGGTGGTGACTTCATACAGGTGTAACTGAGTGCAGAATATGCCTCCCAAGGGTTTTCTGGTGCTTCCTGAACCTGACAAGATTAATTTAGTGATTTGGAAATCTGTTGCCAAGCCCAAGTCCCCAGAAGACTACATAGCAATAGGAAGATTAAAAGCAGATGGTTCAACAACCAAGGTTTTCTAGCTAAACTTTTAACAGACTTAAAATTCTTGGGCTTCATGTAATCATCTTCATTCTTTCCTTCAATTCAGTGTGTTAGTATCTTTGGAGCACTTCCTTCAGACATGAAGCCAAACACATCATGCTAATAATACGACCTCTTTATAAACATACCTTTATGATAGGCTTAATAAGAGCTAAAGGAAATGTTGACTCTAGCTCAAAAAGGCTCTGTGCAATTAGACCATCTCTATGTGGTTATTAATTTCCAAAAAATGATGTTGGAATCTAAAATATGAAGAGACACCATTTCCAGGAGGGGCTTTGGCAGATGAGCCTGTTAAAGACAATTCAAACACTGTTGCAGTTGACCAAGGGTCTCCTCTATTAAGGTGAGGCATTTGAAAAGGGTCAATGTGGGAGCCAATGGTCACAAAATGCTCCTGATTTTCTGTTCCCTTGGAACCACCAAACCCCTCTGTCAAGTCTGGAAGGAGTAGGGGTGATGTGGATCAGGTTGTCAGCATCCCCAGGCCTCAGAAGACCTGTGATGGAGAGGGGCAAGGCAGGAGCAGTTGGAAGCAATAACAGTTCTGGAAATTACCTAAGAAACATAAGAGTTTCCCTGTCTGTTCCAGGCTCTCTCCTCTCTCCTTGCTCTAACTTTGAGTCCTACAGCTTTGACCCATACCAGGCCAGCCACAGCTTGTTGGGCCAAGGTCAGGCTCCCCCTCAGGCTGGTAGGATCCAAACCCTGGCCAGTCCAGCTTCAAGTCCTGGGATCATCTCTTCTTTAGATTTTTTACTCTCCAGTGCTAATCCTGAGCATTTGTGTGACTGAGACAGAAAAGCAGGCACATCCATGCAAGTATGTGCCTGGCTGAATCGTAGGGACTCGCTCCAAACTCCCAATTAACATCAGAATGAAGACAGGACAAGTGTCTCCCATTTGTCTACCAGAAATTTTTCCTTTCTGCAGAAGTGGCAGCTAAAACAATCCCCCAGACATTCCACATGAGGTCCAACAAACACCAAATACAAATCAAATACACAGAAACTCTCTGCTGGGAATTTCTTCCTCTGCAGTGTCTTATAGCACCTGAACTAACTTTAGGACCACCTCATACAGGCACAGAATGCCAGTCCTGAGCTACCAAGGACACAACGCTCTTTCTTCGTGTCACCTGCACTGAACAGCCTCAGGATTTGCTTTCCAGGGGTCATTTGGGTCAGTCTTCACAGAAGCACTCAGGGGAGGAGGACACCAAGCAGCAAGTATTTCTCTCCATGAATAAAAAGGTGCTTTAACAGCCTTTCTTGCCCAGGTACTGTGATACCAGGGCAGCATTTCTCATTACCAGCCCCAGGGTCCCTGAGGCCTTGAAGACGTGGGTTTCCACCACACAGGTCAGGCCCATGCCAGCACATTGCTCATGCCAGAGTAAAGCACAAGAAGTGTCTGCAGTGCCTGATACTGCAGCCTTCATCCAGAAAACACAGCTGGCCTGATTCTTCTCAACCCTGAAGAGACCTGCATGAAAGTTTTAGACTCCCCCCACTGCTCACCAGTTCTGGGTTCCCACCATGTTGTGCCACTCCTTGTGCTGCAGTGAGTCCCACTTTACCCCCTCCCAACATCCCTTTGAAGGCAAAGTTAGTTGCAAGGACAAAAAACTGCACCTGCAAAAGCTGAGGAGGTTTGCTTTGAAAAACCAAACCCCCAAAATACATTTGGACACATGAATAGAGCAGCCAAACCTCAAGTTAAATCTTCCATATGAAGTGTAAGGAATCAAATAACCATCCAAAAGAGATGTCTGCAAAATAACTTGGCTCATAGCATTTTCATTTGGGTTAAATTAAAATAATTGTAAATCTTCAGTGCACAGCACGAGAGCTGCATTCAGTGTAACACTGTACGTATTCTATTAAGCTTTAAGTCAGTTCAATCCTGCAAAAATGCTTTGAAAACCAGACTGAGTTGCCCTTCCTTGGGCAACCAATCACACTACTGCAAGAAAGAAAAAGAGGCTTTGTGAGTGAATTTTCTCCATCATAGTTAACCAGAGCTAAAAGAGGCAGGGGAACAGGAGAGGCAGAAGAAACGGAGCAAAGTGGAAAAGCATCATTACACATTGATCTCTTGAAGCTGCATTAAACCTCAGCTGTGCATCTATTAGAAACCAGTGCCAAGCTGTCTATCTCAGACACAAACATGGTTCATCTAATGATCCATTCAGAATGACCTATAAGTTGTGACTTCCTGGGCATCCTGGAGGTTTAAGGGAAGAAGGTGTCTGGCCTCCAAGGTTCTTCACACACAGAACTGGGCCCTGCTGGCTGCAACTCAGGTCTTTGAGGAGCAAGAAACTTTGGACATTGTTTCCCAGCTTTTTGCCAGATAGAAAAACCACCCTCATTCACAACTCTGTTACATCATGGTACATCACTACAGATCACATTTTCATAACATCAGAATGTTCAATTCCACTTTGGAATGGAGTTTACAGTGCAATATGTGTGCAGTGGCTCCTGAAAACCAGCAAATTCCTGCCACTCCTCCTCTCATCTTGAATAATTTTGACTCCACCATCCTGTCTTAACAGCCTGAGGGCATTCACAGAATTGGTGTGAGCACAGCACAGGAAAACCCAGCCACAGCCATGCCAGTAGAGCAGTGTCACCACTCACACCTGGATCTTTCTGAAGCTCTCATTGACTTTGCAAAGCTTGGAATTAACCAGTACATGTCCCTAGTCCATCTATAAACAGAATATTGAAACTCCCACCCCATAGTTGCTTTGGTATCAAGTGCCAACCCTAAAGAGGGCTGAAGAATATTTACTAAAGGTGGCATAGAAGGGCAAAAGTCAATGATCAATTGGCACAGTTCTGCTCATTAGTTCTTGTAGAGGAAGAGTTCAGAGTAAGGTAAACCCCAACACATGAATTTATTTCCAGAGGTCTTTCTGAAATTGCTCCTGCATACTGGTGCCAATAAATCTTACATTCCAGCTATGCTTCTCCAATAGATACAGGCATACATTTTTATTTCTAGTTGGCCAGATTAATTTCAACAAAAAAAGATGGAAGAATAAAACAAAAGCTGCAGCTAGCACTTATCTATCTCTGTCCTGCAGCCTTCTTTCTCATTACTCCTGCAACTCTCATATTTAGAGGCAGTTGATCTCTCCACATGCAGTTTTAATGGAACACCTATCCCTCAGCATCCAACTGCAGAGTTCAGCTGGGACCACTGTTGCAAATAAAAACCATTGTACTCTTCCTGAACAAGCAGAGCAATGATATTATAGATAATACCTTGTACTGCTGAAACAAGAGCCATGCAAAGATTTCAAAGAGCTTTACAGACATTCATAATTTAAGATAATCTACATCCTCCTAAAGGTGATACTGGATCTTCACTTTGCAGATGAAGAATAGAGGCATTAAAAAATTTAGGGATTGAGGGACATGGGAAGCAAGACAGCATTGAACAATATCCTGCTCACATACATCACAGCAACCAGACCTTGTGATAGTTTCTGCAGGCACTCTAACCATTGCCAAATGCTGCTGAAGTTTGCTTTATCAATTTCTCTGTTTTATTTCCTAAGTTACTCTTGGATACTGTTACCCCATCCCTATTAACCTCATCTTCCCTGCTCTGGACCCTACTGTTTCACTCCAAAACCAATTACACAGCCTGTATCACCCTGTCTGGCAGCCTGTGGTGACACTGGAGACACCATTCAGGCATGACCTGATTTGGTGAATCAGCTACAATGTTTTAATTATTTTTGATATATTATACAGTGAATGTTATGAATAACTTATTAAGTGTACCCCATTTCTATTACCTTTCCACTTTCTGACAGGGTACAAGCCATGGTTCAGTGAAGTGAGCTGTTCTTTCCAGGAGTAAAGGACTTTCCTGGGTGCAGCCTTGTGGAGCTGGGCCTGCTCTAGCCTAAGGCTTTCATTCAGCACTGGCTCTGTTTACTGAGTAACACTCAAAGTTTCAGACCCCAGTTTAGAAGTTTTAATTGATGCACACAGGAAAGCTGGATTAGGCGCTGTCTGTCCTCATGGAGCTCTCCCTGCAGACTTTGAAACTGGGGAGTTTAAAAGCAAAGATTCTGATCTTCACTGCCATAAAATATATCTTCTCACTCTATAATTAATCCCATTGAAATGAGAGAAAGAAGTCTTAACCACCTGTTGTGGTGCAAAGTGCAAAAAGACTGATTGAATATACACTTTCAGAGGTGCAGTTTGGCTTTCCTAATGTACCTCTTTAATGAGCATCTTGGACATCACAGAGCACAGGACAGGCCAGAGAGACAAGAAGAAGAGGTTTCTACAACAGAGAGGTGAAGCTGCACTCCCATATACCAAATTATGAATTAAAAAAGCTAATATAAAGACAGTCTGTCTCATGAAAAGCCAAACCCAAATATAAGGCTTACTCCAGCCAAAGAACAAGCTTAAAGCAGAGAATCCAGCTTGCTGGACACCTTCTTCCCTTCATATTCTTCCCTGATCAAGGGCTGAAGGAGGGCAAAATCAAGGTCTGCCCACCAGTTCACCACAGGAATAACCCCTGCACAGGGATTGCTCTAGCCAAAATCAGACCCATGACTCTGGTGAACAAGGGAAGTGGCACAGGGATTGCTCTAGCCAAAATCAGACCCATGACTCTGGTGAACAAGGGAAGTGGCACAGTCCTGTACAGGGCAATGAGGGTGCAGACTTTCCGCCCTCCAGGAATGTCCAACCTCTCACATGTAGGCCAAGGCAAGGGCACAGCCACACACACATACCTGGGATTGGAGGAGCAACACCAGGAACAAAGCAATGCACAGTGCTCAGAGAAGTGCCTTCACCTGCATTTTCACGTGCCTCTTGAGCAATTCCAAGAGCAGCTGCCTGTTGGCCTCTACTCTTACCCAAAATACATCCCTTCAGATTACAATTTCTTCATGAGAGCACAGCACCAAACAGAAATTAGTTACTTGTTCATGCAGCTTGAGAGCAGTGAAATCCTAAATGACAGACATTCCCCACCAAAAATCAAGAAAACCTTCCTCAAGGTTACACTAGTTTTGTGCTGAGGACATAGGCACCAGCTAAGCCATAAGGTGACAATCAATTGGAACACTTAAGACTCAATAAATATACAAGAAAAAATTATACTACAGATGTTGGTAAATAATTGTGCAGTAGGACTGAGCTGAGGTAAAACATAAACAGTATTATGGAGATAAAATAATGGTGTTTTTATACTTCAAAGAGTAAGATAAAAAGCTGAGATTTTACTGATGGATTTTAGTTAAGGAATTAGTCATCATTATACAACAGCAATTTGAATATCCTAGTACAGCACGTGTCAGAAGAAAATCATTCAAAGTTTGGATACATTTTAGCTGTATCAATTAAAATTGTACATCATAGTATAACATCAGATAGCAAAACTTATTCCAAGCAAGTATTTACACAGAGCTATTAAATGACAAGGATTTGGTTTAATTGCTGAGTAAATGGAGCTGGAAGTCGCTGAAGAGGTCTCTAGCAACCAAGATCATTGGGGCAGAACAAATTGGTTTACTCTGTTTTATGCATCTGAGTATTAAGCCTTCCAGATGCAACAGTAAATGCAATAATAATATTGTCTAATGAAGATGGGTTTAAATAATGAGTTTGGGGTGAGAGGGCATAGCAGTGACTTGTGTAGCAGGATCTCACCAGGGAAGAAGAGAAGCTGACAGAGTTTCTGCCTGGAAAGGGATGTAGAAAAGTGGATCACTGAGATAAACTAATGGAAATTCTCCAGAAACAAAAGCATCGTTTAGGTATGTAGGACAGCTTTACTCGACTCAGTAATTTGCTGCAGCACCAAGAAAGCTTACTGGTACTGCAGGCAAGAGTCAAAACCCTTGGAGATGGTGAAAAAGGTTTGGAAAATATGGCCAAACAAATCCAGATTTGCCATAAACTTTCATACAGCACTTACTTGAATGGACAAGGCACTGCAGCACCATCCTTTCCAGGTGATCCAACCCAGAGACTGCTCTGGCAACGTGGGCACATCCTCACAAGGACTGAATACTTCCCTCAGCACCACTGTTAGCAAAGCTTTACTCCTTCAGTCTCCCAGAGAAGCTGCAACCACTATCTGAACAGATCTATGGCCATGATAATTCACAGCAGCTGGAAATCTGACCCACCTATTTAATGCAAGGGAACAGGCCTGACTTCTTTCCTGCTACATTGACCAAGATCTCCCAGCTGTACTCTGAGAACACTTTAGGCGTTGGGATATCATCCCCAGGCAGGAATAAAACATATGTTTAATAAATGGTTCTACAGAAACAGAAAAAAAAAAAAAAAAAAGGTGGCGGGGAGGAGGAAGAAAGGAAAAGGTTTGCAATTGTGAGATCATAAGAGTCCAACCATATAAGTGATGACTAAGTGTAATCTTGTGTTTCAAGAAGATGAAGAAAAGCATGTTTTTGAAACTGTTGAGACTAGTGTTCCCAATCAACAGATAATCCTTTATTGGCCTGTGAATGACCCTTTCAACCTGGGCTTTCCTCCAGCCCATGGGTCCATGGCAATGACTAGAGGGGAGAAAATCCCCACTACTGGCCAGCTGTGCTCCAAATTACCTTACTCAACTGCGCCTATAAATGTAATTGCCTGTTTCCATGAAATTGCATCAGAATGACCTGCTCACCCCTGACATAGTTCATATATCTGTGATCTCTGTCTCTGTAGATAAAAATCTATTTCTTCTGTGTGTGTCTGAAGATCCTGAACAGAGTCAATCCCCACTAACCAAGCAAATGGAGAGAGCAGATAGCCCAGATACAGCCAAACTCAGAAGAGTAAAAAACAGGTAAATTATATCCTCAAATGGACAGTAAGAATATGAAATACAGAAGAGTTTAGTGTTGCTGCTGAGTACAGACCACAGATAACACTGGCAGACCTGCACCAGGCAGCACATGTGGATATGCCACTGAGCCCAGCTCAGCATCTCAGCTGATTTCCATGGGGACAGTGGATAGTGGATATGTAGGGATAACTGCAATTCAGACTGGTGGTGTATAACAGCGTGAACAAACACTGAGAAAAACCCAAATTCCAGTTCAGGTGAGAGCAGAAATATTTTATGCTAACCCAGAGGAAGTGCCTGTCAAATTGAGTAACTGAGAACTCTCTACTGCCTCAGCTCAGCCTCCCTTCCCAAATTCCATCAGCATTCACTCCTTCTCATGCCCCTCTTCTCTTTCCTGACTCTTCCCCCACAGGCTGAAGGAAATGGTACCTGCAATTGCTATGCTGAAGGAGTGCTGTTCCATCCCAAGGCAGCCCAGAGCAGAGCTGTGGTCCAAGCAAAGGGGAAAGTCAAGCACAAGCAGAGGCATAAGAGGAGGATGTTTTGGTGGCTCTGATGAGAGAGGAATGCCCTAGTGCAAGCTGCAATTTGGGTCACAGTGTGGTAAGAGAAGAAGATACAAAGCCTCAGATGGCTGGAGGACAGTGTTTGGCAAGAGCCTGGGAGATCCACCTAGAAAAATCTGAATCTAAGACAAAGGAAACCCATGATTCAATTTCAAGATGTGTCAGGTCAGCCACGAAGATAGATACAGACAGAGAGGAGGAGAGGTGAGAATGCACTTCCTTTGCTTTTAAAAGAAAGGCCAGAGAAGAAGAAAATCCACTAAATGTAACAGCCAGTGAAATAAGTAAAGTATTTGGGAGGTTATTTTCTTGGTAACAAGCTAATGTAAATAGATCTTTGTATTAGGTCATAAATGTGACTTCCACAAAGATGTAAGTGAACTCCCCTCATTCAAAGGCTGCTGTGGGCTGGACATTTCCATGGAATTCCCTCCCTGGACCCTCCACTGTTTCCTGTCAGGCCTTCACACAGCAGGGCAGTCCCACTCCTGACAATGAGTAAGGCTCAGGACTATTGTAACCAAAAACCAAAATGTGTTTCCATTAAAAAAATCTGGCTGATAGCAATTAATTCCACGTTTTTGTGAATAAATATCATGCGCCTGGTGCCAGAACACTTTGGCTTGTTTGCAGAAGCTAACAGTGACACATAAATCTATTTTCCCTGTTGCTCAACAGACCATCTCATTCTGCTGACCAATTTTCACAGGGGAAGAGGGATTTTTTCTGTCTCTCAGTCAATACCTTCAAAGGTCCTTGCTACTCACCTTCATGTCGATCTGTGGGTTACAAAATGCACTCCAAGCTACTGATGTCAAGGTAGTCCTGTAACTGCTTTGGGTTTTCACCAGCCACTGATATGAAACAAATTTATTTTCAAGAGCTGCCCCACCATTTCCCAAGAGTGATGTCATTCAACTGGAGTCAATGACCAGGATTTCTCCCCTCTCCTGTAGCCCTATCCAGCAGAACAGATGTGCTGTGAGCATCCCTGACACCACAGCTATGCTAAACGACCCATCCTGTTCTCCCTATGGCACTGCTAGGAAAGAGCTCTCTTCTGGCATCAGTGATTTGGGTTAATGTGGAACAAGGAAGGACCAATTCCTGAGCAGAGAATGGCTAAGCCATTCAGAAAAAAAGCTGATACACCCCTGTCTTTCCCAGCTGTGTTTACTTTGTTTTACTCTGCTGATTTTGGTGTATTGCATTGCAGAAGTGTAAAACCAAAGGAAAGCTGTAGGATTCTGGCTGTTCTGAAGCTTTAAAGATGTTTGCTGGCTTTATGTAGGAGAAACATCACTATTTTATTGACCAAACTCTTTTTTTTGTTTTAATATGGAAAATCTCAGTGGCACTTCACTCCATTTGTCTCTTTTTTCCTTCTTTAGTCATATGATAATGTACACTTATAACCAGTGAATCATCCCCCCAAAAAGTCATAAAGAGAAAAATAGCTTGTATGTATGTCTCAGCGGTCAATGAATCATTGACAACAGGTATAATGGGAATAATTATATACTGCTGAGAAACTTTACCCAAAGCCCAGCTCAGAGGCTAGTTTCAAACCTTCTGAGCTGTGCAGCTGGATCCAAGGCTATGAGTGCCAGGTTAGGAAGCAGCCAGGAGAATTTCAGATTTGTATTATTGCAAGGAAATGTCTTCCCCAAGTGTCTGTTATGTGTTGACAAATTGTTTATACTTAACCAAGCAATAATAATGAGCAGTCTAAATAGACATTGATTTTTATGTTTTTAATTCACTTTTAGTGGGAAAATGTCCTGGCAACAGAAATATGGATGTCAAGCCTTGGATGCCAGCCACTGCTTTAGAACTATGCTATTTTAAGCAATAATATGTATTATTTGGTAAAACAACATATATTTTTAGGGTCGAATCCTGGAAGTTCCTACTCCAGTGAGCTTCAGCCTTCCAATCAAAGTTTCTGGAATTACACATATGAATGTAAATTTGTAGCAGACTGGATCCAGACAAAAAAAAAAGTTTCAGTTTCAATGCAGTTTGTCTGCCGCCTTCCTAGAAATAGTTGAAATATAAATGTGAGGCAATTCCTCCGGAACACAAGTGCAAAATCCTTCTCTAAGCCAGCTCAAAGAACTGGACATGTGCATGGACCAAGTCCAGCTCCAGAAGAAAGCTTTGTTTTCCAGTGCAGGGTCATTGGCTATTTTGAAGAGCAGCTATGACACAGAGCAGTCAGGGCTACCTCCCAGGGCTGCTGGCTCCACTTTTCACCTGGATTTGTACCCTGGGCTGAGCTCAGCCCCAGAGCCAGCTCTGGCAGCCCCAGAGATTTTGCACATCATTGAGGAGCCAGACCCCACAACCACTCTTGGGAACAAGGACAACAACTATTTTTCCTCAGATCTGCTGAAGCCTCTTAGAGAAGAAAGATGCACAAATGTGCCCTCATGATAACACAGCTGTGTCCCTTCCACCAGTGCACAACAGGAATTCTCCTAAAGAACAGAATTCCTCACAGAAGGAAAATTTACAAAATAAATGATGGATGAATCAGATCCATTGTCTGTAGCATGAACCCTGCCATCCACCAATAGCAACCAGAAGCCCTAAGCATCTAATATACTTTTCCTCTCAAATATCCCAGCGGTGCAAGAAGATGGTGACCAGCCCCATCCTGCTCCTGTCACAACAATGCAGAACTGTGCACCAGCAGCAGCAGTGAATTCAGTGAAGCTGTAATTGCCCATACCTGGGAGGAGATGGTGGTCACAGGAACTCCTTCAGTGGAGACAAAAAGGCACCTTCTGAGAGCATCTTCTGATCCATCAAAGACATCTGCCTGAGGATAAGCTGAACAACCTTGTAGAAGTTCCCATTTCCCCTTGTCAGCTGCAAAGGGAGCTGCAGCTGTGGCCAGCTCAAACATAAATGTTTGACTCCTGGATGCCTTAAGTTGGAGCAGAAATATTTCACCTTTAGCTGAGAAAGTAGTTGAAGAGAGATGGGTGGCTGCTGTTGCATTTCTGGCAAACACAGATATTATACAACCTGTTAATTTATTCCAGAGTATCCCTTTATGCTTTAACAATATTGTTCAGCATTCAAATCAAGTCATAACATTTAATGACTTGTGGTCAGCTCAGCTTATCCTGCATTTCTATGCCAGCTTAAAAAATAAACAAAGCTGTGTCTACTGAATGGCACAATCAGAGGAATTTACCCTGCTGCTACCACAAAACATGTATCAGAACATACCAACACAATTTCAGCTCAGTTCAAAAAACATGGGTCTGTTCTTTACATCCTGCTATAGGAGACTGAGGGAGTTGAACTGTTTGTTTGGTAATGAGCATCACTCTTTAGGGGACATGAAGACTGAGGACAGCTTCAAATTAACACTACTTTTATTTCAAACATGTCCAGTGGCCTCAGATAGGAGATGCAATGTGCTGGGGGTTGCACAGTTCCTTGGGACTGGTTTCCAGCACTGAGTTAACTCAGGAATAACCTGAGTCATGTCCTCACTCATACAGAAAAGCTGTGGGTTTGAAGGGTACCTTTGTAGGGGTGGCTGTCCTCCATAGGGGCAATGTGGCATTGTCATGTATGAGCCACCCCTCTGTCAATTCTGTACACACAGTGAGGGGTTAACGTCACTGCAGGGTAAACTCCATGCTGCAAATAATTCCATCAGGAAAAGGTAATCCCTGTCCTGATGAACTTACAACCAAAATCCCCACATAAGGTGTGGCAAAAGGCACAAAGCCAAGAAGAGGTACAGCAACTCTGACAAAAGCACCTTTGCTGCCAAGCTGGGAACAGAATTTAATGCTCACCCATTGACAAACAACCCCAAAATAACAATTTGCAGAATATGCTCCATACTTTAGGCAACGGGAAGAAAACTCAAGTGTCTTCCTCCCTTAGGAGGTCTATGCATACTCAACTGATTCCAGCACAATTTATAAATAGATTTGTAATTTCTTGGCCTCAAAACCATTCTCTAGACATACCTAGTCTATGAATCTGCTGCACAAGCATTCTTCACGTTCTCAGCTTTCTGGTTTAAAAGCCATCAACTAACCTATATGCCTCCATGTCTTCAAAATCCTATTTGAATGTAATTTTGGCAAATAGGACGATAACTATTTAAAGCTGTTCTGTGGGTTGTGTGATTTGAAGAAGAAACCATTACCAGATACTTCAGAAAATTTCCATTTATCTTCTGTTGTTTCTCTGCTTTTATGCACCTTTCCTACCAGCTGCTGGACCACTGCCTGCCAACCCACCTCCCCCTTCTCCTGCATTCCACATTCAATGGGCTCTTCTGCAGTCAAAAGCTTTCTCCCATCTCGTGGTGCCTTTGTGTTAGAGAAATAATTTTTTTGTTACATTTAAAAGGGAATTGCTTGGTCCTGTCTTTAAAAATGTATGACAGAGTTAGAGTCTATTTTTTCTACCCTTTTGCTTGGAAATCTGTACAATTATGATCTTAGGATGAAAGTGCATTTTTGAGTAGATCATGCAACATGACAGACTATTTCATCACAAGTGTCTATGTGGAACTTGGAGTGGTTTCTTAAATCTATCATAATAAAGGCACAGAACCAAATTATGAGACCATTTCCAAAAACTGAAGCCCTTACCCCACCTAAACCAAACTTTCTGGAGTTGGCTGATGTGAGGGCAAATGGTGAGGAAAAGAGGGAATATCTTAAAATACATTTTCTACATCCTCTTCCCTGTCCTAAGCTACATACTTTGGGTTTAACCCCAATGAAGATACTTCCCAGTGCTCACTATCCTCTTTCCCTCCTATCCCATGAAAAGCAGCAGTTAACTACTGAGCCCTTTGCCTCCCCCTGTAAAAGTCTTCAGCATCCACAGCTCCTGCAATTATATCCTTGTAAACTCAAAATTAATATCTAATAATATGGAAGTTCTTCTGTAGCATCTCCTGAAGCAGTATTTACAAGCTGTACAGTGAATATGTATTAACTTGCAGATCAAACCTGCCCTTGTCAATACATTAATGATCAACTCAGTCAATATTCTACAACACAGATTCAGCACAACCTTCAGATCCAGCCCTATGAATATGTCTTCATTTCAGAGAGATGGCTCTGAAACTCCTCAATGACCCCTGCTCACCTACCAGCATCACTGCCTACTTATGGGGACTGGAGGACATGCTGCAGTTCTTTCCCATGACCAGGACATCCTGAAGAAAGAAAGAAAGGAAAGGAAAGAAGAGGAAAAAAAATAAAGGAGAAAAATAGAGGGGAAAGAGTGAAAAACAGAGAAAAAGAGAGAAAAGGAGAGGGCAGGAGAGGGAAAAGAGAGAAAAAGAGCAAACCAGACTGTGGAAGGGTTCTTGCTAAAGTTTTGGAAAAGCAATCTTTCTTCTTTTCTGGAGGAAAAGGCAGTGCTCAGAGCATGTGGTAAAAGTGCACACAAGAACAGGAGACGAGTGGGGGCATCTGGCAGCAGTGTGTGACACAAACACACAAATCCAAGGGCTTCCAGGGCAGCAGCATCACCAGCAGTGAACCCCACTACCACCCTTCCCCTACACCTTCCCAAAGCC